TAACACCCCATTGGTGAATGCTACCTCCATGGTTACAGTTACCTTCTCAGGTGGATCTTCCTCCCTCACAGACCTATATCTGGAGAAAGCCATGTGGGATGCAGGTCAATCATTGCAAGATGTGTTGTCAGGATGTGTACCTGAGATTGTCAGTGTAGAAATTTTGGAAAGGATCATGCAACGTCGACATCTGCAAGCAACCAATAATGATGAACTTGTGCAATATGCGTTCAGTGGAAGGGCTGCAGCTGCAACTGACCTGTCTAGAGACTGGTATATCCAACCCCTCCTGGATGAACTGAACAAGATCACAATTACAGAAGGTGTCATCGCCTCAGATATCGCAGGCTCAACCGCCAGCCCTTCACAATCTCCTAGCACTAGCCAATCACCCAGCACTGCTTCAAGTGTTGTTCCAACAGCAAGTCCTGGACCAAGTGGGCTGCCTACTTCTGCCCCAACCACCAGCCCACTGCCAAGCAGTGTCCCCAGTGCCTCCCCAAGCAGCTATCCTAATTCAATTCCAAGTGATCCTCCCACGGCAAGTCTTCAGCCCAGCAGCCTACCAAGCTTTCATCCCAGCAGGATTCGATTGCCTAGCAGTAGTCCAAGCGAGTTCCACAGCAACTTTCCCAGTTCAATCCAAAGTGAGTCTCCTACGGCAAGTCCTGAGCCTAGTGGTCTTCCCAGTTTCAGTCCAAGCCAAAGCCAGTTACCCAGCAGAAGACCAAGTGCCTTTCCTAGCAGTTTTCCCAGCTCAAATCCTAGTGAGTTTCCCACAGCAAGTCCTCACCCCAGCAGCCTACCTAGCTTCAGTCCCAGCAGAAGCCAATTTCCCAGTAGTAGTCCAAGTGCCAGACCTAGCAGCTTTCCCAGTTCCATTAAAACTGCATCTCCCACTGCAAGTCCTCAGCCCAGTGGCTTGCCAAGCTTCAGTCCCAGCAAAAGCCAATTGCCCAGTAGTAGTCCAAGCACAAGACCAAGCAAGTTTCCTAGTGCAATACCAAGGGAGCCCCCCACAGCAAGTCCTAGGCCCAGTGGTTTGCCAAGCTTCAGTCCAAGTACAAGCCGGTTACCGAGCAGTAGTCCAAGGGCAAGACCAAGCAATTCTCCCAGTGCAATCCCAAGTAAGTCTCCTACAGCAAGTCCTTGGCCTAGTGGTTTGCCCAGCTTCAGTCCAAGCAGAAGCCAGTTGCCCACCAGTAATCCAAGTGCAAGACCAAGCAGCTCTCCCAGTTCAACCCCAAGTGAATCTCCCACAGCACATCCTATGCCCAGCAGACTGCCAAGTATCACCCCAAGCATCAGCCAGGCACCAAGCAACAAACCAAGTTCCACCCCAAGTTTATTCCTAAGTAAGACACCTAGTTTCTCACCCAGCAGCACACAAAGTCAATCCCCAAGTACAGAACCAACTATGCAACCAAGTTTGAGCCCCAGCCTCACACCCAGTTCTGATCCAAGCAAATCTCCAACCAATAGCCCACATCCCAGCAGAATGCCAAGTATCAGTCCAAGCATCAGCCAGGCGCCAAGTTTCTATCCAAGTTTCTATCCAAGTATATCACATAGTGAGCCACCTAGCTCCATACCAAGCAGATCACAGAGTGACTCCCCAAGCATTATACCAAGCTCTGCACCAACATTGATCCGCAGCATCACACCCAGTTCTGATCCAAGCAAATCTCCAACCAATAGCCCCCAACCTAGTATTCTGCCAAGCTACAATCCCACCACCAGCCTGTTACCAATCAATCAACCAACTGACATACCCAGTGTCTTCCCCAGCAAACTTCCCAGCTCTACTCCAAGCAAAACTCCCAGCTATATTCCAAGCAAAACCCCCATTGGACTGCCAAGCTTTAGTCCCACTGCCACACAGCTTCCAAGCCACACGCCTTCTCTAGTTCCGACTAAATTGCCTACACCTGGTCCAACAAGGCAACCAACTCGAACCCCAACAGATCCACCAACAGTGCTCCCAACAGAACAACTTTCAGCATCTCCTTCTTCACTTCCAACTAAGTTTCCTACAATTCGGCCAACTAGGCAACCAACTCAAACCCCAACAGATCCACCAACAGTGCACCCAACAGAACAACTTTCAGCATCTCCTTCTTTACTTCCAACTAAGTTTCCTACAATTCGGTCAACTAGGGAACCAACTCGAACCCCAACAGATCCACCAACAGTGCTCCCAACAGAACAACCTTCAGCATCTCCTTCTTTAGTTCCACTAAATCTCCTACAATTCGGCCAACTCGAACCCCAACAGATCCACCAACAGTGCACCCAACAGAGAAACTTTCAGCATCTCCTTCTTCACTTCCAACTAAGTTGCCTACAATTCGGCCAACTAGGCAACCAACTCGAACCCCAACAGATCCGCCAACAGTGCACCCAACAGAACAACCTTCAGCATCTCCTTCTTTAGTTCCCACTAAATCTCCTACAATTCGGCCAACTAGGCAACCAACTCGAACCCCAACAGATCCACCGTCAGTGCACCCAACAGAACAACTTTCAGCATCTCCTTCGTTACTTCCAACTAAGTATCCTACAATTCGGCCAACTAGGCAACCAACTCGAACCCCAACAGATCCGCCAACAGTGCACGCAACAGAACAACCTTCAGCATCTCCTTCTTTAGTTCCCACTAAATCTCCTACAATTCGGCCAACTAGGCAACCAACTCGAACCCCAACAGATCCACCAACAGTGCACCCAACAGAACAACTTTCAGCATCTCCTTCGTTACTTCCAACTAAGTTTCCTACAATTCGGCCAACTAGGGAACCAACTCGAACCCCAACAGATCCACCAACAGTGCTCCCAACAGAACAACCTTCAGCATCTCCTTCTTTACTTCCAACTCAGTTGCCTACAATTCGGCCAACTAGGCAACCAACTCGAACCCCAACAGATCCACCAACAGTGCACCCAACAGAACAACCTTCAGCATTTCCAACAATAAGCCCCATTCCAAGCCAAGCTCCCAGCTCTGTCATTGATACCAAACAGAAGTTATTGGATGAAATTGATACTTGGATCACTACAGGATCTTCTCAGTATGGGGACATCTCCACTTGGGATGTTTCAAGAGTAGCCGACTTTACATCGTTGTTCAATGGGCGGTCAAGCTTCAATGATGACATCAGCAGTTGGCAGACAGGTCAAGTTGTGGATATGAGATGGATGTTCTATAGAGCAGCCACCTTCAATCAAAATATTGGCGGCTGGGACGTCAGCAAGGTTACTGATATGCTCTTTCTATTTGATCAAGCAACATCGTTTAACCAAGACATCAGTGGCTGGGATGTCTCTCGAGTTGGAAGGACTATGCTCATGTTTTGGGGTGCAACAGCTTTCAACCAAGACATCAGTGGTTGGGATGTGAGCACGGTGACTGATATGAGTCAGATGTTTGATGAAGCAACTTTATTCAACCAAGACTTGTGTGCATGGAATGTGCATCTGCCTTCGAGTGGCCTGCTTGTTGGTTTAGCTTTCGATTCCAGTGGCTGCACTGAAACAGGAAACCCAACATTGCAACCTGATGGTGTGACCTGGTCGCCATTGTGTCATGCTTGTCCTTGAAGTCCCCAGACCTCCAAATGAGTTACCATAATAGGTGGCCAGCCAAATAGCCCTGGTTACATCATGGATACCTTCAATAGCTTCGTCTTCAGCGCAATAGTTTTCTGTGCTTCATGTTGCCATCATTTTTTAATTTTCCGTTGACTAGCTTGCTTCAAACCGTTCAAGGATATCCCACCGTTGGATTCTAGACAAGTGATGGGAAGGCACAGACAGAGTGGCGTTTCAATGAATTCAAGTGCATTGCCATCGAGCCAGCGACGTCCAGGACGAATGCATCAAATATTGCGAATGCTTTGGTTCCTCCAGCTAGCGTTCATTCCGAGCCACCTCTTCCATCTAATGGAAAGGATCCGAGTGAATCCAATTGAATCCAATCTGAACCATGGACACACACATCACGGACCAGCACCTGTGCCCATCCCAAAGTCCTTTATCAGACACAACAGTATACGGTAGCTAGTAGGGCCAGCCACCCCACACATGCACCAAGAATGCTGGCCAATGACGAACGAAAGCAAGCCAAAGCAACCTAGCCAAGCACCAAAGACGACTTCGCACCATCACCAATGCACTGCTTTAATACTACCACGAGGATAGCTACATCTGGAGCTTCCGGACAGCCGGACAGGAGGGTGCATTTTCTTGCAAGCAACCCCAGAAGACGCACATGCCGCAATACGGACATCATAACGCCACGAGCCCGCACTCCATTGCCAAAGCCATGCAGAGACATCATACAAGATGCACCATGCATCATGTGATTGCTCTTCACAGCCATCATAAATGGTCGATTGCTTCTTGCCAGCCGGGTCAGAGACAAGAATGGCTCAACTGTCATGAGAATGATGAATCTTCTGCCGGTCAAAGACGGGCACCATCCACAAGCATTGTCTTGGATCCGGGATGAGCAGCCACAAGTGAGTGGTACATGATGATGTTTGCCCTTAGCTGCCCTTGCACAATTCGGGTTTCCACGCACGAGTGGCCAATGGCTCTTTGCTTGTTGGCTCCTGGTTGCCTTCTTCGCTGAGCAGCCGGTACCAGTACCGCTGCTCTTTGGTGCTGGTACCGTACCGCAAAGAGCCAGTCAGCAACTACTAGTATCTAATAGATCAAGGCACTCTGGCTCTCTGCGTGGCTCCACCGACAACGAAGAAGAGAGGGCATGGTGAGCCAGTCAGAGGGATAATGACCGTATCCTCGACTGAGAGATCGCTTTCTCAACAAACCTTTCGCCTCGATGCGATCTCATCTCTGGCTCTCTAGCTTGCCAGCTAGCTAGCCCACCATGTCCTCAATCACTCAGGAGCGCGGCAGTATGATTGAAGATAATTCAGTACAAGGCCTATTGGCACAATGTACCTCTGCGAGCTGCGAGCAGAGAACTTTTTCTACTCGAGTACAGTATCCGAGTTTCGAGTGTTTTAGGTGATCAGGTCGGCAACTGACATTCAGGGATGAGGAGACGGCACCATTAAGGCAGCACCCACAATAAAAGCACCTCTGCTACCAAGAGAAAGGCGACCCTAACCAGCAGCTTCCTCCCAACTTTCCTCTGCAGCATTCGAAAACTGAAAAAGAACTGCAGTTTGCAGTGGTACAGGTACCAAAGCAATATCAGATTCTACAAGAGGCATGGCAGGCTACGGTACCAGGTAGACACTGCTGAAAGGAAGAACCCGAGGCAAAAAGTGACCAAGACACTGATTTAGGATGCACGTCCATCTGCTTGCCATTAGGGAAATAGATTTCTGATCCAGTATGTCTTTCATTTAACACAACGCTCTTGTTCAATCCCCTTTGACTGTCCCAATGTTGCCACTATAGATTAATCAGTACTCATATGGAACGCAGAATAGTTCAATGGCAGTGCTCAAGATCCGACATTAACAACCAAAAATGTCAAAGTGACTTCATAGGAGGGGTAGCAACCAAGACTGAGTCGCAATTTCTACCAATTTCGTGCTTTCGTAACAAGTTGATGTTACTGGAGCTGTTACAGGTTCTATTGCCATGAGAAAGGCATCTATCTCACATCTCACAGATTCGATTCGATTCGATTCTTCCACTTGCACATCTTGGAGGGCTTTTACCATCATCTTTCTCTCTTTCTCCTCAGTTTACACACATCGTCCATTCCAGGTTGATTATATATTGATGGCCAAGGCAAAGATGAATTCGTCCAATACCAAATCTACAAGTACAAGTAATTCCAATGCCCTCTCCCGAAGGAGGGCCGGTCTAGTGGCAGCTCATGAGGCAAGAGGAAGCAGTCGACGTTCGACTGCTAGCGCCCCTGCAATCAGGCCAACTGTGAGCCAAGAACTGAGTATGAGAGCTCTGAACTTGTTGGATCGCTATAATAGAGGTGGACAACATCAACCAACGAGATCCGAATCCTGTTCGGATCTTTGCTATAGCAGGACAACCCCTGTCCTGAAGAAGAAAACGAAGAAGGATCGGGCCAATATTCCCTCCCTGGATCAAAAGATACAGACTCTCATGAACTTGGAAGGACACGAGGCGCTCCACTCCAGTCTGATTTCGTCTCCCATTCCACCGCAAAGGGAATTATCCAATCCAAATCTGTGTCCCAGTGGACACTCCAGAGCGACCGTGTTGTTGGAAGATCAGGTCCATCCGACAACCATTCCTGATCCTCACCAAAAAGAACAGACCTTTCGAAATCGTCAAGGCCAAGAGTTTCTACATTCCAGCATGACATCTCCCCTCCAGCCATTCCGGGAACCATCCAATCCCAACCTCTGCCCGAGTGGTCACTCCAGAGCTAGTAGTAGTACCGTTGATCACCCCACAACCGTCATCCCTGACATTGACCAAAAGGCTCTGACACTGCGACAGAATCAGAGCATGCACTCGTCGTCCCCCTTGATAAAGCCAACCAGGGAACCTTCCAATCGCAGCATATTATTAGGCACTAGTAGTAGCCACCACAACTCTGTGGCAACACCCTCGGCTCATCCGTCCTTGCCATCCCTCATGTCCTTGCCCACCACCCCCAACACTGTTACTTCCACAACCATTGCAAGCTACGTATTTGATGAGGCCTGTTCAGAAGAAGACGATGACATTTTATCCGAAGAAGAGACGGAAACGACCTATCATCATCATGATATCACCTTGAAGTACCCGCTCTTGGGGCCAACCACTAGTGCAACCAACACGGTGGCACTGGCATCGGTGGGAGAAAACGTGGAACGAGTGGACGACGATGTCAGCCAACTGAAACGGTACTGGGCCGACTTGGGAGAACGCATCCATGCCATGGAAGAAGAATCCGCAGAAAAGGCGACGACGACGGCGAATTGGGACATTGAAGGATCGTTGGCAGAACTCTTGAAACGGATTGAAGCCATTGAATCGCAGCAAGCAAAAAGGGATCAACAAGAGCTCAAGATGGTGGGCGGCCGCGTCGCCGAGAAGAAACCCTCTCTGGGCCCTTCGCCTATGGAAAAGAGCAAAAGCAAGAGCCGATCGGCCAGTTCCGCCAAGACAGCATCCAGCAGCCGCACCAAGAAGAGTAGTCGTTCGTCTCATACTACTACCGGTACGACGACGACAAAGCCTCGTCGCAGCAAGAGTGCCGATGCTGGTCCACGGAAAAGCAGCCGTTCCAAGAAACGGTCCGAGTCTGTGTCGCGTCCATCGTCTTCTTCCAAATCCACATCCCAAAAGCCCACTGGTAGTAGGAAAAGTCGGTCCAGCCACAAGGATCCAACCACGATGCAGGATGGAAGTGCTTCTTCGTCCCGCATGGTGGATGAGAGTGGAGGCTCGCAAAAGCCCACGAGTAGTAGGAAAAGTCGTGCCAGCCACAAGGATCCAGCGACAATGCAAGATGGCAGTGCCTCTTCGTCCCGCATGGTGGACGAAAGTGGAGGATCACAAAAGCCCACAAGTAGTAAGAAAAATCGTGCCAGCCACAAGGATCCAGCGACAATGCAGGATGGCAGTGCCTCGTCGTCCCGCATGGTGGATGAGAGTGGAGGGTCGCACAGCAGTCGACGCAGCAATGGCCTCCTTCAGGACGGATCCGGTCGAAGACGTGTCAAACGACGCGATTCGCTGGAACGTCACATCATCATGTCGATCCCTGGGAAGCGACTGAGTTCGAGGCGTCTCAAGGCGGCAAGGTCCAAGTTGGTTCATGTAGCTGGCACCAAGAGCGAGAATGACGCCAGTGTCGTGGCGGCATCACGAGGAGGCAAGCAGGTCAAGGGGAGATCACCACGAGGAGATGATGCACTCTTGAAGGCTGCATCATCTCCCGGATCAACCAGCTTTGCATCGCCCTCCAGCAAACCCAGCCCATCCAGCAGCAGAGCCAGCTCTTCTGTTAGCAGCAAATCCCGTCGCCCCATGTCTTCTTCTTCTTCCAGACAACGTCGCATATCCAGGTACTCTAACCGTTCCTTGTCACGGTTGGACGCTCGCCCCGCACCTGTGTTGGGTGACCTTGACACGATGGATGTTTCCTGGTGGCGCTACCATCACGAACAGCAATCGGTCGCTTCTAGCTCGGCCGGATCCATGCCCGTCATGAACAAGCTCCGATCACGAGCGGGGAACAAGTTAGAATTTTGAACATTTCAAACCTAACCCTCCTAATCCTAAACCAAACTTGCTAGGCTATTGAATGAGAAAAGCTATTTTTGTCTCGAATCTCCTTCCCTTGCAAGCTTGATGTTGCTGCCTTTCTTGTCGATTAGTTGTAGCTGTGCATAGATTCAGGCGCAAAAAAGCTCACGAACCATGCGATCCCGCAGTTTTGGTGGAAGCCATGAGGGTTTTCTTGTTCAGGGACGTTAGGTCCCATGCATCTCTGAAGTCAGAGGCTGCAACAAGTTCGTCCAGGCACATTCGAAGCAACAGGGCGGGTGCTTCATTCTGCGATGTGCAGCTTCCCGCAAGAGAGTCTTGAAGCTGTGCAGCGAATGCTTCACTTTTCAAGACATTCGCAAAGTTGTAAAGCAGAACGTTCATTGCCACTTCATGTAATGCTGCCAGGGGCTTTTGGGATGAGAGTGGCATCCATTCGCTAGCGCTCGATGCGTTGGTTTGTGCATTACTTGTTGTCGGAAAGGTCGACAGGCGAATCGAAAAGTCCATCCTGTATCCCTCATCTTTCGGGATGCCCATGTTAGATTCCTCCAAGTGCTGAGCCACAGCGATCACATCGAGGACGGATTCGGGAGTAATCAACTTGGAGGGACCGTCAACAGCGTAAACGACTTCTTCGTCATCCCCTCCATACCCACCGGTTGAGCTTCTTGTCGCTTTGAGCGTGGTGGCTCGATTGCACGACCAACAAAAGCATTTCCGGGGGTCCTGCGATAGTAGCCTCATTTCACATTCCTGAGCAAAGGAAGGACAAAGATACTCCTCCGACAAAAGCAAAAGATCCAGCAGAGTCTCTCGACATTGCTCATCATCAGAAGGCAACCCACAGACAATGGATCCATGGTACAAGTGTTGCAGCATCAGTAGGACCAGTTTCGTGGGCGTTGATTGCAAATCAACTTCTATAAGCTTTGGTTGCTGTTCCCCAACGTTAGGAAACGAATTGCTGCTTGTCCTTGCAAAACGAATTGCTGCCGCCAGCTTAGCGCTTTGCTGCGACACAACCAAACCATGCACCCCAATCTCACCGTCTCCGTTTTCTGTAACAAGGACCACACGGTCAGCTTGAATTGCTTCGTGGAAGCCTACTTCTTTGTCTCGGTTCTTTCTTTCTGGTGGAATGGAACGAGGATCAATCCATTCGCAATGTGAGCCGTGGGATGCCAAAAGCATCTTCCTGAACCATGGAAGACGGTACATCAGCTGGCTTCTGTCCTCCATGGACAAGTTGACATCTTGGGAATCACCGTTGTCAGGCCGGGACAGCATAACGTTCTCCCGACGGTATCCAGATCGAAAGTTGTAGTAGTGGCTGGCCAAAGGCCTCCAGATCGCCGCCGAGGAAACTCCATCGTTCCCGGATATTACTTCGTCCACTCTCCTTAGTATCGGAGTACCGAGACTAGCCTTTAGTCGAGCCAGGCAAGCCGAATCCAGACGAGCCCCCTTGCGGAAGAGGACGAGACTGCAAGCAAGGTACTCGTCGCTTGTTCCGATCTTACCATCATTGCCATCAGAGTCATCGGCGTAACCAAGATAAAGAGACGTTACCAAGCTGTCGGAGAGTGCCGTACGAAGTTCAGTTTCCTCAATTCTTTCCAGCCCTCGGAAGAAGGATTCGGGTTGCTTCCGAAGCGTTGGATCTCGCCGCCTGGACGTTTTGATCTTCTTGCGATATGCAATCAGGCTATCCAGTAGCGCTGTGAGCGTAGGAACATGGCCCAGGGCAGCGGCCAAAGTCAAGACCGTAGTCCCCGAAGCTCTCGCCAACACATCACTGCTACCACAATTGTTGTTGTTTGCGGATTGCTGCTGAGCACTATCACTTGAAATGTCGGTTTGTCTCTTGGCGTGTTGATGCTTGGGGTCGGTCCATCGTTTCATCTGTTCTGGTATCGATGTTTTCTTTTGTTCTCGGACTTCGCATGGATTTGCTCCTGCTTCCACTAGAGCATGCAGGATCTCGAGCAGCTCTTCTTCGCCAAGTTGCTCTTCTGCAGCTTGCTGCTTTGACGATTGATTATGAGTCGACGACCGTAGAACCGCCTGCCAAAGAGCTTGCGTCAGGTCGTATCCATGGTTCTCTTCGGTGGAAGAAGAAGGAGATCGGCTAGAAGTAGTCAAGAATGCCGGTGTATGAAATTCCAACAGGAGACGAACCATATCTGCTGAATGGATTGCGGGTGCTTTCGTGACTGCCCACACCAAAGGACAAATGTCCTTGCCGGTTATCGTCGTTTGCTGCTGCTGTTGTTGTTGCTGCTGTACCGTCGACGCTTTTTGTCGTTGCTTGGTGCCCATGTGATGATGGTGGTGATTGCCACGCCACATGAGCAGCGTCATGACCAAGTCCGTCGACCCGGACGCAATCGCCGCCAACAGTGGCGTTTGGCCTTGTTTGTCTTGCATGGCAAGAATCTTGACAAATATGGAAAAGCACGAGCTGCTCCCGCATACGGCCAAGAATATTTCCACCAATTCGGCTCGTCCCTCTTGACAAGCGACATGTAACGGAGTCTGTCCGAGCGTGTTGTTTTTACACATCAACACTTTGAATGGGAGTGTGCCTCCCGCATTGACCACAACCTCCAGCAAACTCTGTAACAGCGTCGGCGACGAGGCACTCCCACGACAACAGTAGTGGAGCGCATTGTTGCCCGTTTCATCTCTTGTGGAAACAAGCGCTTCACCACTGGACGACGACGACGACAGTAGGATTTGAGCGCAGCTTTCGTGTCCCAGCTCGGCTGCCATCATTAGTGGGGTCGGAAATTCGCACGCTCCCCGATCCATCGGGAACGCAGATTCCACAGTAGTATGGTTGTATCTGCGGGCATGGTCTTTTTGGGTGGCCATGGTGCGAAGCAATCGATGGAGCAGATCGGGTGTGTCCAATTTGACGGCCAATTGCAAGGGCGATAAATCGGTAATGCTTTTCCCTAATACTAATAGTTTGGTTCTTCCAGAGTCCGCCGATTCGACTGCTCGTGGGGGCGGCGAAACTACTGTTGTCAAAGCTTGCACCGCTTCTCTGTCCCGTTCGACAATGGCATAATGCAATGGATGGGAGCATTCGAGGTACTTTTGCAGGCGATTCATGTCTATAGTAGATTGCGAATCTGGCTGCTGCTGATGGACTGCGTTTTGGTTGCTGTTGTGGTCACCACTGTGAGCCACCTTCCCATTGTAGAATTGCAGGGATGACAGCTCCACATATTCCTCGGCAGCAGCAAAGGGTGTTGTAACCTCGACCTTTTCTTTGTCGTGGTGTTTTGCAATGGGTTCTTTGGCTTCTTCTTTTGGTGCCTGGTTTTCTCGTTGCTGCTGTTTTCGGAGCAGGTCCCACCACCGATCTCGCAGCTTTGCAATGGCAACCCGTGGTCTCTTGGGCGGTGTCACGGGTACGTCTCCCAAAGGAGGCTTTGGTTTTTCGTCGTTGCCGGAATCTTCCAAGAGTGATGATGGTCGCTCCTTATTGTTTTCATCATCCAAGCATGACGGATGATCCGCCGCTAAAGTATGGCTGGTCGGTTTCAAAAGAGTGAGGCGAATGCCCCCACTGATACTGGGGACAACGATGGAATGTTCCTCTTCAGTAGTGGTGTCCTCCAAATCCTTGGGAACCACTGCCGCCACATTGGCCCAGGCATGCCCACTCGGTTCTTCTGCTGCTGTGCCAAGCTCGTGATCATCAGGAGCACTACCTAACGATGGAAATTGATCCAGAGCCAAAGAATCATCGACAACATTGTCATCGGCAACATTGGTGGACTGGATGTCAACTGTTTGTTCTTGTTCATTGGATTTCTGCAGGTCCTTCTTCTTTTGTGCCCGTTTCTTCCTTTGTTTTTGGTTGTTGCGTTTCCCAGTTGTCTTTTGTGGACCGCCTTCTGGTTTCTTCTGGTTCAGGTTGTGGTTCTTCTTCTTCTTGGGCTGTCTCTGATGGTTGGGTTTCTCTTGGTACTTTGGATCAGTCCTGAGCGGCTCTTCTTGGTCGTTGCTTGTCCCCACTGAGGAGGGTGCATGAGGATTCTTCACAGCCCCATCCGTGATGTTCTTCTTCTTCTTTTTATTCCTCCTTTCCTTCTGCTTTGTGCTCTGGTTGGACAAGGATGGAGATTCATGGTTGTCGGTGGGACGGCTAGAGATAGAGCTGTCCGGAACTGACGAGGTCGGGAACGACGGAACAAAGGCTGCAGCATCGGCACGCAAAGGCATACGACCAGATATTATTCTTTCGCTTGATTCACAGTAGGTTCTCTACCGTACAGTAGTTGGCGGGAGGACTTGGCTAGTGCTTGTGTGAACGAGAGGTTGGTGGGTGGACTTACTTGTCTCGTCTCTTGTGGTTGCCGTCCCAATTGTTGTGAGAAAGCGAAGAAAGAGCGGGTTTGGATGTTAGACTTGTCTACAGGATTGTATTGCTAGAAACTTAGCTCACTGTCAGGAACGACCATACCACGATGACAGCACCGCTTCCCGTCTGCTCAGCGAAGTTAAGCATCGTCGGGCCAGGTTAGTACTACGGTGGGGGACCACGTTGGAATCCCTGGTGTTGTTCTTTTATTGCAATGGCTTTTAAAAAATGCTTTGCTTGTTGGAGAGGCGATGCTGTTGTTCATGACTAAGGCCGTGGTTGGTTCGAGGAGCGAAGAACGAGATTCGCGAGTCTTCAGGTTCTGAGCTCAACAATTGGTGCGGTCCCGGTTGGAATTTAACCAACCTGAACCTTATGTTTGATGGGCAGGATTGTTTTGTTGCTGGTCCCATGTGGGTAGCAAAGGATCAATCATCTCGCTTTCTCTTTTCCCTTTTCTCTCACTGGTCCCGGAAGCTGGTACCAGTGTGGTACAACCCATGATGGATTCGAGTCTGACGGTCTGGTCCTATCCAGGCTGCTTCAGCGCTTCAGCAACAACCAACTCAAACACCCACAACGAACAAGTGTGGGTTGCTAGCTGCCAGCCTTGTCCACTACAGCAGCCTGAAAATGGCGTCCCAAACAGAAGGCTTCGTTGCTGTTGAGAATGCCAACAATAATAATAATAAGCCACCCAAGAAGAAACCAACACAACATAGTAGTGACGACGAGGACGCAAATGATGATGATCCAACAATGAACCAGCTTGTTGCTGATCTATGTGGGCAAGACGATCCCGCCAGAATGGTGCTGACTCAAGAAGAGCATCAATGGGCTGTGGCTGTCAAAACTGCCATTGAAAAAATCCCAGATCTTGATGATTTGACGGATTTTATGTATGCTCAGATAGCCATTGTTTCTCAAGGCAATGGTCGGGATGCCGTTGTGAGGGCGTTCCGGCTTCAAGAGCATAAGAAAGACAACGAAATAATGGACACACTGGATGACGCACTGAGGAATTTGCCAAAAGAATCTTACTTCATCTCTATTGACTACAGTCTTGAATCTGGTGGCTACATTGTTGCTTATGACGTTGGAAATTATTCCAATGGGGCCATCTGGTTGAATCCAGAGGAGACACGCTACTACAATCGCCGGGCTTTCTATGCCACCCACATGGCATTTTGTGATTTGGAGGCACTCCGGGTTGGCGCTACTGTTCTTGCGGAATGTGAGGGGTACCAGCTGGTCAAAGGGAAAACGTTGAGCTTGACTGGATTTCAAAATGTTTGGAAGAGTGTGCATGCCTATCCAAGAAAGATTAAGCAAGTCAAGTTCTTTAATCCTCCTCCACTCTGCAAGATGATGTTGTCAATGGCAAAATCAATGTTGCCAAGAGAAGTCACAGCTACCTTCCAACTTTGTCCCAAGTGTCCCATGGGTAGACTGGACCGGCTGTACTCTATCCCAACCCCAGAAATAGCAAGAGCAAGGTTGCAGGAACGAATGAAAGGGCTTGTAAAGAAGCGATATGCCAATGAGGCAAACTTTAGTCTCGACAATCATGCTCCTTCTTTGGAGGACGCTTGAGTTCCAGGCTGATGTACTAATCTCTGGCCTACCTCCGTAGATAACCTACATATTCTAAACCCCCGTTTATCATCTCATCAAAGCCGATCTTATTTGCTTCTATACATGTCTTTTCTGTAGTTTGTCCCAATTTGAAATGGTCATGGACAGGGTACAAGCGTACTACGCAGACATACATAACCAAAAAGATGTCGTATGAACGCTATTAGATTTCCAAAAAGTAGCTATTCTCATCTGTGGTTTAGAGCTACGAGTACCGCTACATCCTACCGTATGCACCAGCTCGAATCCGTTCGGTTCGTTTTAAGTGTTGCCTTTGATGCGTAATGACTATACCAGATGGGATATACAAATGCCACTCAAAAGAGGGCCCCATCATCACAAAGTTCCCAAAGGTTGTATTGCTTCATGCATGCTCCTTCTAGTATCCTTCGGCGGCACTCAAGTCATCCATGGCCATGACATCAAAGACGCAATTCTTGAAATCACTCTTGTCCACATGGGAGCAAGCTTTTTGAGCTGCCTTGTGGGAGACCGTGGAAGCACGAAGCTGGCGACGTTCCACCGAGCCATAATCCGGCATGGGAACAGCTGGCATGTCACACTCTTGAGGGTACTGAGGGCCCTCTGCTTCCAGGAACAGCTGAGGATCCGTGTCTTTGACCTGCCATTCCTGTCCAAAGGCATTGGGGTCTTCAAATACAGTCACGCCATCACGGCCGAGGAGCTCACCGGTATCAAAGGATCCCATTAGTCCCAAAGACGTGCCAAAATGTTCCTCTTTCGATTTTACCAACTCGACACGAAGCATGGTCTTGACGGATCGGATAATGATGGCAGAGTCGTCATCAAGAACAATCTTGTATTGAATGGTGCTGTCGCTCTTGTGGCGGAAACGCGCCAAGAAGCCTCCTACTTCAAAGGGCAATACTCCTGAATCCTTCACATGACCGTGCTGTCCATTGATCCAGTACGACTTGTCTTCCAGACCAGACTTGACTTCGAAAGTATCATCTCCAATGCGAACCACGGCACGGTCAATGGAACTCCACCAGTGTGTAATCTTGGTCCTGACAGGGAGATGCGTGCAAGAAAGCGCGTAATTGAGCTGCGTGTGGCCTTAATGATGATGCGCTGCTGGTGATGGGGCAAGCCCCTGGGTTTGCTTACCTGACGTGAATGTGAAGGCCTTGGCCATTGTTGAATTGGGGGTTGGAGACCAAGACCAAGTCGCATCCACCATGGAAATCATAGCTTGTTCCATCGAACTTTTTGATGTGAGGATCCCCTGTGGCAAGAAAGAATAGAAAGGATGAGAGTGATCACGAGTGAAATCATGATGAATGACCGCATTGGAATGGCGGCAACTCGTAACAGCACTCATCGTTTTCTGACGCACCTGTAATGTAGGTTGGGGCCTTTGGAGTCGGTGCAGGATGAGGTGCCTCTGCGGGAGTAGGTTTGGGAATATTAAAACCTTTCAGCTCCCTTTCACGATCACCATTCAGTAACAATTGCACTTTGTCGAGGACATCCGACTGCGCATATTGTGTGGGACAGAACGTAAGTGATTCATTCATTCGTTGTTGGGATGAGAAACAGGAAAGGGGTGAACCAAAAGGAGACTCCTCACTCCGGTACGTACCTCGGCGCTGACTTGACTAGTAAGACACGCCAACAGAAAGAACGCGACGGTGGAGAGCTTCATCTTGACTTGCTTTTCTTTCAAAACCAACGTTCTCACAACTTTACGAATGCACTACAAGCCTTTGGCCGATGACTTTCTGCAATCAGAAGTTAGACTAGTTGTGGTCATGTGGTTGCGAGCTTGAGTCAGCTGGAACCCTGCAAAGATTTGGTTTGCACGGGGCAAGTTGGCAGCTCCACCTGGTATTGCAAGCATCTAAGTCTTTGATTAACGAATGATTCCCACCGGATCTTGCTCGATTGGCCTACGGCCTATGCATATCGTGCTGCTACTTGCTGCTGAGTAGAACTAGCAAGCTGGAGTTCAGTGGTTGGCTTGTAGATACATGTAGGTCTTCTTGCTCTCTGTTGAAAGTATCGATCGTTCCAGGTCGTCCTTGGTAGCATTGCTGAAGGACATGCAGCCACACCGGTATTATCGACAACAGGGAGGACACACAACCACGAAGAAGCACCTGGCGTTCCAGCCCCTGTTTAGGTAGTAATTGGTCTCTAAGCAATACAGAAGGACGAAGACTACTACTAGCTAGCTAGCTACAATCTGTTCCTCCAAAACTGTTGGCTCGCCCACACTGCGCTACGGGCAGTGACTACCGTGAAGGTCTGAATAGCTAATCCAAACAGTGAGCTTCCACGAGTTCAGACCCCGAATCACAAAATTTGTTGGACACTGTTTGTTTGTCCCTACTTGATATCTATCTCGATGTCAGGATGGAAAAACAGTTACAGCTTCTGTTCAACATGAGTGAGAGAGAGCCAATGCTGAAATCGATTGATTCGACTCATTCGAAATTTCTGATACGCTGTAGTCGAATAGAATCGAAAAGAAGATTCCAATGCTGCTCTGGATCTTGGAAGCATTTGCACCGGAGGAAGACATCGGAATCCCAAGACCACCTCAAGACCAAGTTGCTTGGTGAGAGTGGTCTTCTTCCTCCAATCTCTTGCTTCTTCAGCCGAGGAAAGGACCAGAAATACGACGATGGTGCTCTTGTTTTCTTCCTGGCGGTGTCTTCTTCTACTCGTATTATTACTATTATCATCAAGTCATGTACCGGTAGTACTAGGCCAACAAAAAGGCCCCATTGGTGTGTTTTTGGTGAATGATAGTGAATACACGCTGGAAGTGATTTGGTTGAATCAATTGGTGGTAGAAGATGGAGAACTAAAGAATGTGAGAACGGGTCCCATATTACCTCATTCCATGGAACGCTACAAGAGTTACCCCGACAATTCTCTACAGGTACACAAGTTGGGCGATTCATCCTGTGTGGAAGAGGATGATGTGGGCGTTGTATCACAGCAAGTCTGTCAAAGTGTCATTTTTCATGTTAGTAACATTCATGAGCAGCAGCAGCAACAGCACCAACAATCTGACATCAAGAAGGAACCTACCAGTGAGTTAGTTACGTAAGACGGTGTCTTGGGCTTGTATACCCAAAAGGAGATGATATTTCACCACTCACCAACTCCCCTTTTTTGGCATGCACTGATCTTGATTATCTTTTTCATTTTTCTATTTCTATAGACATCTTTTTCGTATCCCCCGACTTCCAAGGCACTACTGCCAATCACAATCCCACTCTGGTCAAGGCATTGATTGGGAACAAAAAAGGCAACAAGGACAACCCTGCCACACTCCATTTACACAACCTCAGTGGACGAGATATCGACTTGTTTTGGGTCAATACATTTGATAAAAGTCTAGTACCCATGGCCGATGCACCCATTCGGCCCAATGAACCCAATATACAATTCCCCGTCACGGTATTTCATCAATTTCGAATAGTGCCCGCCGCGTGTGACCAACAACAGCAGCAATGTACAGAGGATCGGCGAGGATATTTTCGTGTCACGGATCGAGAAATTGGTGTGTACGATCAAATGATGATGGAAATGAAAGAATTGTGCTTTCTGGCTCTTGTTTTCTTCTTGATGTTCTCACCAATCTTCTCTCCAAATTCTTCTCCTCCTCCACTCTCTCACAATTCTCATCTCCAAACACAACCAACCAATCTACATCCACCCATCTCTCGCTCATGTATTTTATCCACTATTCGCCACACGACAATCCAATCCAAAAGAGGTGACGGTCACTACGGACTTTGACCTGAGTGTCGAAGAAAAGGTCCGACACGGCAACAATCACTCCCAAATGGATCAATTTGTCTACCAGCCCGGCACGGATTTGTACCAGCAATGTCACGACTATCTAGCCACTTCTTCGTCGACTACTTCTCCGTCAGCCATGGTTTCACGTATTGAAAACTGCGTCACGCATCACTTTGACAGTGTCCAGGACTGGTCCTTTACAGGCGGTTACAGTCGACCTCCTCGACTCAGTACCTATCTGGATGTCAAATTGGAAGACTACGTGTGTCACCAACCTCTCATGACCACCAGTCTGCCCATTTCCGTGGAGGAGATAGAATTGAATAACAACAATCATCATCATCAGCGTGTCATGGTACTGCACCAAACGCCATCGAGTCAAATTCATTTGATTCCCAACTTTGTCACGGCACAAGAATGTGTGGCCATGAACGACATGGCCAATGCCAGTAACGATAATTGGGATGCCACCAAAACATCCGATGGAAGAGGCGGCCATCGTCCCAATCGCATTCGAAAGGCTACCATTGCGCGTGTCGATATCCCCTGGGATGACAACGACAATGAGGAAGAAGACGACACGGTATTCATGTTGCAAGAAACAAGACAACGCATTTTTGATTATATGCATCATGTACATCCCGACTTGGGTGTTACCAGCCCGGCGGGGCAAGAACCTCTCATGGCCATACGGTATCAAGGGAGGGGCAAAGACGAACCGTATCCCGATCAATACAAGTCCCATTGCGATGCGGATTGTTCCGGGCAACCCATTCAAAAGGGACAGCGAGTTGCCACGATGGTCATGTACTGGTACGTACAGCAAGTTGCATGTTGCTTTTGGTGGTTCGTAGTTATTTGTGTGCCATTGCAAATGCGCCCCACTCATTCTTGCGTCTTGATCGACACTTCAACAGCAAAACTGCCAGGGATGGAGGAAGCACCAACTTTCGTCATGCCCGAGTCCATATCAAGCCTCAACCTGGCATGGCGGTTTTCTTCAGCTACATCAACGTGGAAACCATGGAAGCTGATGCTGGTAATACCATTCATGCGGGGTGTCCCGTCTATGAAGGGACGAAACAAATTGTGACGCAGTGGATTCGATATGGCGTCGATGCGGAACATCCCTACTCGGAATTTGGACTTTGATTACTAATGCAAGCAAGCAGCAACAATACGCTACCCGAAAACATGCGAGAATGGTACTTCGCATCTCTCAAAGTCAGGAGTTACCGAATAGTGACAAATGTCACGGAGTATTTTGTGGGGGATGGCTGAATCCACGCGCCACCGTTGAACAAATGTCTGGAAAAATGGAAGAGACTGTAAGACTCTTTTTTGACAGGTGGGTTGTCACCTACATGATCCTGTTGAATTGGATGCATGCATGCATTTGACTCGGAACTTAACGGCTGCCGCCTCAGTTACTGGTCGACAAGTTATTGGCACCAACAGAGTGGAGGACTTTGTATCCCTTGTCGTGAGACCGTGGTTTGGCTTGCATATTTTCCAAGGCGGCCCGCGCCTTTTGATAATGAGGAAACGCTCTGTGCTCTTCAATCGCGGCCCAATCTGCGACCGATTCCAATACGACAAAGTCAGTGGGATTGTCCAATGATTGCCACAAATCAAAACGAACGCAGCCCTTTTCAAGCTCGTGTACCAAGGCTGCTTCTTCTAACAGCAGATCTATGAAATCGTGTACGCAATCTTGCTTAATGTAGAAATAGACCAGGAAGTACAGAGGATCCCCTCGAATTGGACTTGTAAATTTATCGAGCTTGTTGGGTTCTGGGAACAGAACTTTCCACTTGGTTACTGAATCGCCAGCAGATGATAAACATGTTCTGTTTGTTGTCGGGTCTGCTTTTGTGGTTTCTACGAGTACGGCACGGCCGTCATCGTTTGATTTGACAACATCCATCCGCAGTGAATCCTTCCCCAACGATGCATTGGTTTCGCTAGCCGCCTTAGCCCCATGGGTAGATACCACAACGAAAAGTTGTGGCATTCTCTGATGATCTCGTGAGGCGAGAAAGACCTGTGCTGCCAGTCTGAAAAAAACTTCGTGTCGGTACTACAGCTAGCTAGTGCTGGTGCTGGTGCTACCTGCGAGACCAATTTTCGAGCTGTAAGGGAGCTTCGTTGAAAAATCTTTTTGAAACCAGAGAGTCTACAACACCTGGGTGGTAGTTTGCAGTTTGCAGGATTTGGTTGAAAGCTGGTGAAATGTGATTTGGGTGAAGTGAAGGTCCACCAAAAAAGATACAGACACGTCACAAAAGATACTTAGAGTAAAGGATTTAACAATTTGAGCCGTGCTAAGGTCCCTAAGTACCGGTACCGGTACCACTGTGGAAAAAATACCAAAATCCATTGAGGTCACAAGCAAGTCACAAGTCACAAAATTGGTTCCTGTGTCGGCTGAAGCGAGGGCTTGAGGGCCGAAGGCAATGCGGTACATGTAGCAAGCACGGTGCATGGTGCTAGCTAAAATAGAGGCTACAAGCATTATAGTTATGTTAGCAACCAGCAGCCTTTGTTACCGGTACTAGTTATTTTTCGTTTTCGACTGAAGTAACCAGCCACCAAAATGCATAATGAGCAGTAAGAAGCTCTCACTAGATAAAGCAGCTACCCATTTTGTCGGGCACCTTTTATCTATCACTTCGTGCGTCGTCCAGTTGCTGTGATTGTTTCAGTCGGAGCAAACTTTGCTGTACAGTCGCTAGAGTAGTCTAGACGGGAGCCCCCAAACACTACCCCTACAGTCAGTCAATCTTCCGTTTCAACCTAGGCGGTGTGTCTATCAGCCAGCAGTGAGTGTGCATGATCAGTGGCAGGAGTGCTAGCTCTAGCCAGCCAAAAACGAAATGAATCCTTGCTGGCCTGGCCCACATGCGGTGAGTGGCTCTTACTGCAAAGAAGAGACGCCAAAAGCAAGGAACTGTTGGAACGAGCAAGCGACAGTACTAGTTGGTTCCACCCAGCTGCAGCCAGCCATTGCTTGCCACTGAGTAAGATTACAAGAGCCATCTGGAGCCGGTTACAGTCCAACAACGACACAATAACACCTCCAGTAGACCGCATCAATAACTACCTGTAGATAAATGCACTGAAGGCAGCAGATTGCATCTTTGCTTCTTTCCACTCGTGCCCTGCCTTTGCCTTCCGGTTGATGAGGCTCGTTAGTCTACTAGTACTTGCCCAGTTTCATCGATCAGGCAGGAAAGCGGTCGTGGCAGGGTGGAGGACTGTACCTTCCGGCGAGGGGATAGCCAAGATGTTCTTGCAGCCAGGCTCTACTAGCTAGGCTTTTACATGACATTGTGTTTGCTTCTCTCTCGAGGCAGAACCCCGACAGGTGTTGACTTCTTAGCTTCTTAGACACCATGACAATGTCATCGAATAGCTAGCCTGTAAAAAGCCACACCCATGATCCTTTTTAGATTCTGGATGTGTTACGTTCCATTGACCACGTGAATGGTTGCTTCTTTTTGAAGCAGAACACTACATAGTCTAGCTAGCTACTAGCTGGTAAACTGAAACACCTTGGCATCCTTCTATCAGTGCACATGTCCTTGGTGGTCTGGTCTGACGATTGCTTCTTGCTTCTTGGGCTTCCAGCACAACGTCGATTTTTGATGTACCAGCAAATAGAAGAACCCTGCACTTCAACAATCAGCCCTCACCATTCGACACTCGCCACGACAGAACGGTATTGTAGATCATTCCCATGAACACATACATCATAACAAACTGAAACATATTGACATCCTTCTTTCGGTTCACCTTTATTGGCGGTCAGTTGATTGCTTCGTAGGCGGTCTCCTTTTTACATCATGTACAGCACAGCACAACGTGGATTGCTGGTACAGTCAAGGGGAAGCCCATTTCGATGGTGCTAATAATCATCATGGGAACATGGCAACAGCAAAAAATAGAAGAACCCTGCACAGGCCTGCTACAGTACAGTTCTGTTGAAGATGCAACAATCAACGATCATCATCAAATAATTTTGCTTGCCGGACATCCAACAGATGCCCACTCTGGAATGCCGGAACTCAGGGGACAACCTCCCATTCTCCTTTGGAAACATGTATCTCTTACTCTTGTTGTTCACCTAATGAGTTGCCGACTGCACATCTCGCTACCATGAACCATGAACACTCAAGCACACACGCTCGATGCAGTCATTTGTAAGACATTGGATTCAAGGAGATCTTCAATCAATATCTCGTCTACGCATCACCATGACTCTAGTCGTCAGAGGAATTAACAAAGCTACTCAGAATGGTGAACTACAATGCCGTACCGCTGGGTCATGAATGCCACATTGATTAAAACCGGAATTTCTCAGGGAGTCACAGTGGCCAAAATCAATGCTACCCCGGAGTTTCAACCATGTTTCGGCCAAAAGGTGACAAAGAAGGAGAAGGCAGTGTAGAGTGGTCAGTAGATGATGTTCTCGTCTTCTAACTTCAAGATTGACAGGAAGGGCCCTTTTGGGTTTATGCCCAAGACTGTGGTTAAATCAGATTTCTCAGAGCAACGTAAGATCATTGTTTCCATTCGGCCTTTACGACTACGCTGACATTCTGAGCATCGGGAAGTATTTCCAGCCAGAGTTGAGGAAAATTCAAACCGAGAAACAAATGAGTTTCGGTTCCCTACGGTAAAACCTTCGTTGAAAGGATAGCCGGTTAGCCCCTAAAAGATAGATTATGTCATCGGGTAGTTTTAGCTGCCAGCAGTAGATCTACCTTGGAAGGAGCTTCATTCTAATTCTCAAGCACAGTGACGAACAGAGGTTCAGGATTTGCTAACCTCTATCATTAATTATTAGCTAGAGGTTGGTACTAGTATCATTTGATACAACTTTTTCTTGATTAGGCGCCCAAAATACGACGTTACCGTTTGGCTGCGTACCAGTACAGGTGCCTGCTTCCAGCCCTTTGTTGCTTCTGCTCCCCAAGCCAAGATTACCTTACAACGCCTTGCTACGGTACCTTCAACCTCGGCTGTTCTGAGCCCCGCGCACATAGCTAGTCATACGGTAGATAACCTCCCTACTCTAAACCCCCCTTTATCCTTAGTTGTTTGATTGAGGCGCCAATCCTGCCCCCATCGATTCTCCACTATGCATAGCTCTCGTAGCCAATGGTAGCTGATGGAGTGCAGGGGCGCTTTAGATGAAATTTCGGACTGGCAAGACCGATTGGTTTTGCAGAAGATTATTTCCCGCCTCTCAGGTCATTCGGTGAACCCGAGTCAGTGGCCGAATGCTGCAACTACTGACAGACTGACAGAGTGTGTTTTACTGGACTACGTGTACCTAAAGCAGTTCATTTCCCTGTAAACGAAGCTGTTCTGTACCAGTGTCAGTCGGTTGATGGAATGGCCTTACGGTTGAAATTGACTGTAGGATTGACTGTAGTTTTACACTGGAACTGTTCTGGTACCGTATTGTGGCTGTACCAGATCTTTCGTCTGCAAGAAATCTAGTGAAGTCAACCGCTTTCCTACGCAGTCTCCAGCCAACTGGTACCGGTAGTTTAGCACCCAGTCAACCCCTGAAACACAGAGGCGCTGACGAAACACAGAGAGGGTATCATATCAAGCAAAGCAGCAGCCAAGCGCCATTCAGGTATCGTACCAAAACCCGCTCGCTCCTCGGCAATCTCATCACATCCATCGGATTTGATTTGAGTCTGGTCATAAAAAAAATCTTGAGCAGCCCACGCTACCCAAAAACACAAGCTATTTCATCTACATCCACCATACCATGATGGTTGTCGATTTCTCCACACCCACCACTACTGCAGGCGAGCCCCGATTGAGCAGTTCTACTAGCAGTGCCGAAGAGAGCATGAGCTCAATGTTGGGCGACTGCGACATGTCCTTTGTGTACTATGTCAATAACAACCGCAAACAAGTGAAGAAGCTTGTAGATATGGACGTGCCGCTACCTCAGACTACCTGGTTTCGCAATCCCATTCATCGCAGCAAGGACCAAGCCATGGAACGACTCAGTGATTCCATCGAATTGGCACTGAAGGAATTGGACGAAGTTGCTCAACAACCACAAGCGCCATCCTTTAGCTTGACTGAAGCCATTCACGGCAATAGCGTCAGGAGTCTACAACTCCAGCAGCAGCAAGAAGAAGAAGATGATGATGAAGAGCAAGTCTTTCACAGCAACTACCGAAGACAACGACGACGTGACAACCGCAGACAGCTTTCCTCTCGACAAAAGAAGCCGCTGCCACCACGAGCCTCTTCGGTTCCCACACGCATCTTTTTGAAACAAACGAGTAGCAACACTTCTGCTACTGCTGACAGAGCAAACCGAAGGTCGTCGTGCAAGTCCACCACCAATGAGACGAAACAACCACTGGCCCACATTAAGCGCACACGACGACCGCCTTCGATTGTCGTTCGTCACAACAGCAGTGGAACACCCAAGCGTCACTCGTGCACAGCCGCATGAATGAATGAGCAGCCATGGGCCAAGCTACTGTAGATTTTGCATCATCGAGTACATACATAACATGAACAAATAATGAACAAATACTACTCACTACATAACATGAACAAGTAGTATCACACAGCTAGCTAGGTAGCCAACCATATGCCGAGAAGGCGTCGATTGCTGGAACGGTCATCCCTATATGTCTTGACTGTGAACTGTTTGTCCTTCCCTGCATCCAAAGTGTTGCCAGCTACAAAGCTCGGGGAAAGTAATGATCTTCCAAGCAAGAACTGAGATTAGATTGTTGACAAAGCTAGCTAGTAAGTCAGTACCATGAACGAAGCTTGTGTGGTGATGGATCCTCTATGCACATGTACTTTAGAATAAGGGAGTTGTACCACTTTTTGTAGAACAAGCAACCTCATCACTGGCACTGCCTTGCAGAGTTATCAAAGATGTCCCGTGAGTTGCTTGTCTTCTCATGCCAGATCTGAAAGTACCTTACCGTACTGCTCATTGGTTCCAACAACTTATAGAGGGCAGACTGCTGTGGTACTACCGGTAGAGCAAGAGCTGCTTCCCCAACTCACACAGCAACAGAAGTTGTGTATCAATGACAACCTGCCTTTTTTCGGGCTTCATTCATTGCACCAGAAATTAGTTTGTTGTCTAGCCAGCCTTGTGAGGAGCTTGAACTGCAAAATACCAACTTATTTTGGATCCTTCCCAAGGAACTACTTTGTTGGACAGCTTGACCAGCTTGGTCTGGTTGAACGCGTCCTCAGCCATCTGGGAGCAATCCCTGATAGATTATGTGTGTCATAAATACTGTAGTACTCTCGCCACATGTAATGAAACCGTTTGGTGGGAGCTGCCTATGCTGTTCCAATGAGCAACCTGTCAGTCCGCTATGGAACTAATCAATCTATGTGGCTGTAGTTGTGAGAATTTCCCAAAAGCATGACATGGCTAATAATTTGGGTAGCCAACCATTCGCCAGCCATGAAACATGGTAGTGCATTGCTCCCAGGATCCCTTTTGTTTCTACGTTGGTAGAGGCAGGCATTATCTACAGCGTGAAAGAACTGGCATGGGAAATGTGCCTCCATGGTGACATGGATATACGGTGGCCACCATGCATTAGAGATAGATTTGGTTTTGATGAATTCTATCTAACTAGACTAGTAGAAGCATTTATGCAATAAAGCTGGTATACGCTGTGGAGAGTACAATCAATCCAGCGATGGCTCGATTGTGTAGAATCACTTTTCGTTCGGTATCGAGGAAAAGCTTTCCGTAGGGAAAGACACACGCCACCCCGAATAGATCATTCCAAACATCCGTCTTTTTCCGTGTCAATTCGGCCGTGCTGGCCCCCAATCGTTGGACCGCCAATATGGATCCCAACCACAGTGCATTGGAAGTGACGGACCCCATCGATCCAAAGACGGGTGCCGGACGAAACTGCCCCGTGTTGGCTTGCCGTATGGCTTCCAGTGATCCCATGGGATAGTAGGGTGTGAAGCAGCCCCAGACGGCTCCCATCATGGCTCCTTGCAAAAATCCAAACACTGTCGCGGACGACAAGGTATGCAAGCCTCGGTAAGATTGGTATTCTGCTTGTTCCATTGTCTTTCTTAATTATTTACTGCATGCAGCACAAGTAACCGCAAAAGGGAGGGGACGACCACGCAACGACCTTGAGATTCTGAGTGGTCGTCAATGCTCGTCATGGTGGGATGGTTGAGGGAGCGGTGGTGGTCGATAAGCCGATCGAGCTGGGAAAAAGCACGCAGACCCTCCGCAGGAATGAACTCACGCATGGAAGGTTAAGGTTTAAAAGTCGTGTAAGCAGTCTTTTTTGTGTCTTTCCCTTAACTCTTTCAGTCGTGAATCAGTCGAGACTCCGCAGCAACCTCCGCGAAGCCTCCGCAGCACCGCAACAACAGACACCATCGACCGCCAAGCGACGACAACACTAACCAATCACAGACAACGACAACACTAACCAAGCTCTGTGAAGCCCATGAAGTGTGTTGTTGGGTAGTATAGAGCATGAAATCAGTGCTCATCATTGCATCAGTTAGTGCTCATCATCAGTCGTTTTTCATCTGGCAGAATCTGTCATCCCAAACATCTGGCAGAATCTGTCATCCCGATTTGGAGGTCACCATGATGAGCTCACTTTTTTGTTCAACCGGATTGCTAGAGTTGCATACCCAACCGAACAAGGAAGACTTTCGCGATTGTTGATAAGCCTAGGCCAGATCAACCCCCCCAGACCTTATTCAAGTCTATTTTTACCTTTCTACCAATCTTCTATTCAATACCTATCAATTGCAAAATGAAGTTCTCTTCTTCTATCATCAAGCTGCTCACGTGGTCATGGACCACCGACAACAACAACAGCAACACCAAGAAGACCCCCGTTCTCCAGGTCGCCAAGGAGATGACGGGCAACAACAACAACAAGGATGTTCCTGCGGCAGAGGAAGTCCCAACATTCCAACTGGACGAGTTGGACAAGACACTCGTCGAAACCGCTGCACTGTTGCATGGAGCGCATCCTGATGTGGAGTTCCAGCAGCACGGTCGCTACCTAGGTGCCTACGACCTTTCCCTGGTTCCTGCGGATCAGCATGGTCACTACGGATACGACAACAACCAGCACCAGCCCAAAGGTTGTCGCATCCAATCCAGTCAATCAGCCAACGCTCGCTGGAAGACCCATTACAGTCAAGACACCGAACGAAGCAATGGAAACCGTTTATCCTTTGCTCCCGTCAACACTGTAGTGGGGTACTCTTCTGACGAGAGCGAACAAGCTGAGAACCGTCGTGTCTATCGAGACATGAAGAAACATGTGCCACAGGCCCAATACGAATTCTGGCAAGAAGCCCAACAACAATTCATTTCCGTCGGCACACAAACACCCCACGAACGCGTCTTGGATCTCGTGCAGTTGATTCAAGAGTACGGATACCAACAAGTGGCCAAATGGATCACCAACAACAAATGGTTCCAAAGTGACAAAGCGTACCTACAACAAGCCCAACTGTACATTCAAATTGATGCTGTGCATCAAGACCTCGAGGGACTTGTTCGTTTCATCCAGGCGAAGAAAGGAAACGACAAGCGAGTCGCCCACTGGTTCATGGTCAACGAAAAGAACCTTTACATGTTCGAACTCGCCATGTGCCACTTGCATCTCGGAGGCATTCAGCGCAATGCCAACGACGAAATTTGCACCTTGAATACGCGAGAACAGATTGCCAAACGACGATTTGTCTATCGCAAGGTCAAGGACGTCTGCATGGAAGATGCAGCACATGTAGAAGTAGAAGAACAACAACCAACAACAACTAAAGACATCGAGGCAATAGAAAAAGTCTCGACCGTCGACGACAACAAGATGGCATCTGATGCCACAATCACATGCGAAGCAGCGGTGGCTCCCACATGCACAGCAGTGGTCCCATACGTTCAAAAGTGGCATGTGAAACACTTCAAGATCAGTGTGCATGGACAACAACCATTTGTATTGGAGATGCGAATGATGAATGGTGTGCTACTTGGAGTGGTACCCAACGACATTCTCGCAGCCTTGATGAAGGATGGTGGACACATTGTCAAGGAATTCATGCGGCGGCACAAGACACTACGATTGGAGGCAGGCGTTGCCTCGGACAATACGGATTTCGAATTCATGACTGGCCAAGTGGAAGCTGAAGAACCACTGGTCGAGGTCGAGGTCAAGGAACAACAACAAGTTGATGCTGAAGAACCACTGGTTGACAACCGAGTCGACGAGGAGGACAATGTGGACACAGCACAATCAACATTGAGACGATCAAAGAGACGCATGGCGGCGATTGCATCTCAGAGAATCACAGAACAAATGAAGACGAAGCCAAGGCGGGTGGCAGTTGAAAAACCTAGAATTAAACGTCGACGGGCGGCGGCCACCAAGAAAAAGTCGACAAAGCCAAAGTCGACAAAGCCAAAGGCGAAGGGCAAGAATAAGATGACGACGACACAACCTGTGACGGACACACAGCAGCAAACAACAGTTCTTACAACAACAACTCTTTCTGGACGGCAAGTCAGAAAGCCTGACCGGTACATTCCAGTCTAGGACAACAGGTAAGTAAGTGGGGGCGGCGACGACGGATTGTGGGGACTACTAACACATGAATACAATACACAAAGAGCAAGCATCTGGTGGGGTGCAGGGCTATACAACAATTTTGCGGAGATGAATACAGTTGGTTCAATTGAAGGGTCACATCGAAGGTAGCCAGGTTTGTGGTTCCTGTGCTAGGCAGCCTCTATTGCAGAGTGCTTGTCCGAACGTCCTCCACGCGACGAAAGTCCAAAGTTAATACCCGTGACACCCGACAACCAACCTCTATCATTGTTGATGCTACAATTTAAATACAACCAAAGATAATCATAGAACAATAACACATAATAGACAATCTTTACAAACAACAAAAATCATGGCTTCATTCTTTACAAGTAATAGTCGTACCAGCTAGGAGTGGCAGTTCACAATCATGGTAGCATCCAACCTAGGGCAAGCTCTGGCATGTAAGTGGTCGTGGTGACCATGCGCAAAGAGGTTTCTATGGGCTGTGGGGAGTCCAGATTCATTCAATCTTTTCAATCCCCACACGCAGCATTCGCACCCAGATGAAGTGCCCTACCGGTACCCAGCATCTGCCGCCTTGGACGCAGCTTTAGTGAGCTTGGGTTTGGGAACCACTCTGTGCACGGGTACGCGAAACGGGCCATGCATCGATGGTCATCTCGCTGCCGGTTGCAGACGTGGTGTGTTTGAACCGTGCAAAATCTCTGGCTTGTCTCCTTGTGGCTCATCCCCATTCCGGGCTGGCTAGCTTTGGAGTCTACCGGTACAATTGGAATCGTCGCTCTAGCTAGCACGTGCGACATGCTCCACCGGCATGGGTAACGTCATTCGGTCCAGGATAGATTGTTGGCAAGTAACTGAAAACTGGAAACACCCCATTTCGATCTTCAGACAGACCTCTATCAACGAACTGACAATGAGGTAACACCGTTCCGCTTTCAGGGCTTCACCTTTGATAGGAAGCAGGTGCGTTTGGGATCTCCAAAGGTGGTTGCAACAAGTCTTCGTCCGCCCGAAGTACCTTACTCGGCGGGGCTGCTTGGAACTTTTGCTTCTATTTCTGTTGATCGAGCAACCTGACGAGGTAATCGGGCTCGTCTTCAATAGTGTGCCTCGTCATTTGGTATCGTGCAATGGGCCCATTGTATCGAAAATCAGCAATGCCCCAAAAGTACTGCTGAGGACTGTCGCGTTGCATGGGCTGAAAGGCTGCGACATAGGATTTATAGACAATCTCGTCCTTGGATCCTTCCAGAATAGTTCCCTGTTCCTTGTCGATTGCGCAATGAACTTGTTGACAAATAAAGTGCAAGACAATGCAAGGCGGCGTAATATCCTCGTCGTCTGTAGTAATGGCCCAGACGTCCTTGGCATGATGAGTGGGACAAACTTCGATAATACTGGGATTGAGTACAACTCCTTCCTGATGACGGGCTTTGATTTCAGAGGCCACCTTGTGAAGGACTTGAGGACCCAACCAGCGCTGCAGATTGTCGACATCGCCCTCTAAAACCCACTTTAAAAGGAGGGGTATCGTTTTTTCCGTCATGTCGCTTCGAAACTGATCCAGCGAGGTAATCAACTTGGGATCCAACCTTTGGATTTTGAGAATGGCAGATCCTGTTTGGCGTTCTCCACGAGTATTGGGATTCCAAACAGCTTTGTCAATGATACGAGCGGCAGCCAGTCGTCGTTGGAGGCGCTCCCAGGGGCTTGCGACGGATGCATCAATGTCCATTGTGGGGATTCCAGTCAGATCGAACGGTTCCACGCCTGGCTGTTCTTGTTGCTGTTCTTGCATAGGATACATTGGAGAGGAAGTCTCGTCCATGCTGCCCTTGGAGGAAGAAACTCGAATGTCATGCACTCCCAGCAACTCCTGCCACGTCTCTACCAATCCAAGACGAAATCGTTGCAGGAAACCGAGCTTCTTGTCTTCTGATGAGGACGCATACGGCCGTCGTGGCCAATTGACGGCTCCAAGCGCCCTTACAGAAGTCGTTCGTCTCACTGCGAGGCGTCGACTGGCAACTCGTAGCGATGCAGCGAACATTGTTTGAAGGATTCGTGTCCCGTGGTCTTTGCTGGGAAAGCTGAAAGCTGGTGTCAGATGTCACAATCTTGCCCCATTCCGGCTTGTGAAAGCGGACTGATACTCCCTTCTCTACTTCTGCCTAACCACTAGCTAGCTAGCAAGGCCCTCTGTGATACTGGTAGACTTCAGGTTCCGCCAACTTGAATTGCGGACTTGGCTGTTGGTGTTGGGAGGTTTTTGTTTGACAGGATCTTCGATCTTTGTTTTGGATCAATCTTGCATGGTGGTTGTAGGGTTACAGGTTACTACTCCAACGAAAATGTTGAGAATTCTCAAACCTACTGGCTCCAACACAAATCTGAAGATCAAGTTGAGAATTCTACAATCCCCCTAACCCAAAACCATTAAAAATCCTCCTGGTGATTCTGAGGAGTTATCACCTTTTTCAAAATTCTCAACTTTTTCGTCAGAGTAGAAGGTTCTGTGTGGGAAAATTGAGGCTTTGGTATCCATGGAGACGTCCGAAGTTGCTCTCGCAAGCTGATTGCAACGAACAGAGCGTTTAAAGTACGAGCTAGTAGGTAGATTATCTACGAAAGCCAGCTGGGACAAGCTGGAATTGGTTGCACATGCTGTGGAGTCTCATTGACTCGACTCGTAAAAAGTTTTCAAGGCCACTATGTGTTTGGCTTCATACCAACCAAAACCATTCGTTGATTTCCTAATTGTACAAGTAAATAGCTAGCTAGCAACTGAATAGAATCGATGAGTCTGGCCAACAGCAGTCTTGGGGCCATATGATGCATGTACCGCGTGCACTACCCAAAGAAATCCCCCAGAACATTATCCACGGTGTCGGCGGCTATTGCATACTCAAGTTCGGCTTCCGCAACCTCCATCTCGTCTGAGGTTCGCTCTTGCTGCTGATGCTGTGGTAGTAAATCATCCACCATTGCTGCTGCAGCATTATTGGCGGCAGCATCAGCAATCGTGGATGCCCCATTTTGGACCACAGCGTGTGCTTCAACTTTTGCTTGAGTTTTGTTGGAAATGGCAGCAGCCGAATCGGTTTCTTCTTGCTCGACGACTGAGGGTGCAAGAGGGTCTCCATCTGACGGCGGCGTCGCCGCTGCTTCAGGTACATGTGGCTCTTTGACTCCGACGAGTTCCACCACGGCGGAAGGAGTAGGATTGTAGTCCATATCCATCAAATCCGGTCCTTCTTCAAATGAATCTGCCGGTGGAAGAAATGTGACCGGAGGTTCCTTGACCATGTGCTGTTCCGTGGCTTCGGGGTCGTCGGAGACGTACCAACCAAAGGTATCTTCCGGTTGCTGCCGATCATTTGGGGCACTACTTTGCATCTTGTCATCATCATCTTCATTGTTGCCCATGCTATCCAAATCCACGGCACTCAGTACCTGGATGAAGCTACTCATGGATTCAGATTCCTCCAATGGTGGTTGGGGCATCTTGAATGGAGTGTCACTTTGACCGCAGTTGGTGGTGAGTTCGGGCGTCATGATAGGTGGTGGCTGTTCAAGAACACTACCAGCGCTTGTCAAAGGGTTCGGCGTCGTCGTCGTCGGATACTCGGCGGTCGAGTTGGTATTTGCTGCTCCGGCACTTGGCTGTGCGTCATCCTCGATTTGGAACAGCTTGTTCAAGCATTGGTACGAAAAGCTCCGTCGTCTCGACAACCTTGTTGGCGTACTTGGATGTTGCTGATGCCCGTTGTGGCGAGAATCGTCATGTACAGGATCATTGTGATGCTGTTGCGACGTCACAAGGGTGTCATTCGTTTCTGGTGCGGAAGGCGGATACGTGGCTTCGTAGGCTTCTGCCAAGTCCACTCGACTGCGTTTCCGTACGGGGGGAGCGACCGCATCAGTTGATGTAGCTGCCGAGTCGTTGTCGCGTATCGCGATGGTATACTCGTGCTGCTGCTCTTGCACGTCACTGCTAGGATCTTGATGTGCCGTAGCCTCGGCAATGTCGGAAAAGATGCCCGAGAGTGACCGTTTTATGTACGAAGTAAGGGAATGAATCTCGGTCATTGGTGGAACAACTGCAGAAGAGGTTGCAGCAGTGGAACTCTCTCCTCCTTGTTCCATAACGATTGTTTGGTTGGTACCCACTGGAGTGTCTTTGGATGATGACGACGACGACGACGATGATGATGTGGGAGGTACAGAGACTGTTGCTGGCTCCGGCTGTTGTTCCGTTTGCATTGCTTGCGGGTTGGTGTCTAGAGTCTCTAGTACTTGATCTGATACTACGGGTGGTACTGTTGCTTGCTGAACATGATGGGCCGTTGATTTGGTGGTTGTTGGCTCTACTAGCTGTACTATTTCCCTTTGAATGGGTAGCACATTGAATTCCAGACTTTCCACTATATTTGCGACTATTGCTTCTGCTGCCTGCTGATCTTGGATTGTTGACGTTGGTTCTTCCTCTTCAGGATCCATACTAGGATGGAAGAGCTCATGCTGAGCTTCTTGGGTGTTTGATATCGCTGCTGACGTTTGTTCCGGTTCCTCTGATGGATGAATTGGCTCATGCTGCACTTGGTTCTTGTGTGCTGCTGATGGATTGGCAGGTGATTGTGATTGTGTGGATTGTTCAGGCTTCGTCTTGACGTCTGTCTGCCCTGGATGAGCTGTCGTCGGTACAGTTCTTTCTGGCTCTATGGCAGGAGCCATCTCTACGTCTTTCGTTGTGTTCTGATGGTCAGAGTCCTGTATTAAAGTATGTTGCGGGTCAGCAGCTTTTGTACCCTTTTGGTTGTCGTGTTGCCCCATAGGTAGCTCGGGTATCATGGACTCCTCAACAGTGGTCATGGGAGACGATGGGGTGGGACTTGTGGATGGGGAACAAGGCTCTGACACGGGTGCCAATGGCGGCTTGGAGGGTTCTGGAACGGATGATGTCGTGATGGTGGAATCTATTATTGCTTCCACAGCACTCGCCAGTCCCTCCGCCCCTTTGGTAGTGTCCCCATTGTTGTCTTTCAACTCCTCTTCCCTCGTAATCACATCTGATGCCGTTACCCCTGACTTTGGCTCTACTACTACTACACTAGAAGCAGTCATTGCATGGCTTTGGTTGACGGAAGCCAGAAGGAAGAGATCGGGCCACTGATGTATGTACTAATAGGCCACCAGGACTAATATTATTCCGGGGGTATCTACCGGTGGTTGCCCAGACGAGGCAACCTAAAATCCGGGTAAAATGCGTTGGAGCTATACTAGCAAAATGATATGGCTCGGCACTAATTCAACTACGCATCTGTTGGTTTCACTATCCTTGTCATCCGACCAACAGGATTGCGTTCTAACTAACACACATCCGAGAGGAAGAGGCGTCAACGTTGCCTTTGTTGGAGAGGGAAAGGAAACCAAATGTCGCAGATAGATACATTCAACTTAAAACGTCACGGAGTGCAACCACGTCAGATACCCGTGATTGAATGATCCAATCAAACTAGATTTCAAATTATGACGTTGAATCCGTGATCACAAGATAACATGACTGAAACCAGTGATTAGCTGGTCCGCTGGACATAAGCGGACCCTGCAAGACATGCCATGCCATGCCGGTACCGGTACGACTGTACCGGTACAAGGTACCAGTACCGCAAACATTCAACAGGCAACAGGTGTGTTTACTAGTACGCCTTAGTGCTGTTAGTTGGCCAAAGTAGATCTCGTGGACCATTGTTAGCGCCGTTAAGTTGGTTCCGAAAGCAAGGATGAACGTAGCAGTGGAGGCCGAGATAGAACAAGCGGCAGTGCCAAGAGCACATGAAGATGTTGAAGGGGAGAATCACCCAAATGAAGAGGAGCTGCCACAAGACGAGGATGATGCTGCTCCAGAAGAAGAAGAAGATGGGAATGAAGAGGTGAGGCCCCAAAACGAGGATGCCCCCGCGGCAGAAGAAGATGATGGGAACGAGGAAAACCAGCTGCAACGCCCAGTGCCTCCTGCGATGGATGCATCCATGGTCCTGACAAATCAAGAACGCCAATGGGCTCGGACCATCAAAGCAGCCATTGAGAGCTGCCCTGATCTGGACAAACTCTCCGATTTTGAGTACTGCCAGATAGCAATTATTGATCGAGATGATGTGGGGGCTGCTGTTGACAGAGCCATAGCCTTGCAGGGATTTCGGCAGGAATATGATATTCAAAACACTCTGGAAGATGCACTAGTGGCTTTGCGGAACCATGTATTATTGATGCCCCAATTCATTCTCGATTTTCCCTACAACCGATCCACTGGTGGATATGCCCTTATTGCAGATATGAGACGCTGTGATCTGCAGACACTGGGAACAGAGAAAGGTTGGAAAATGCATGCTGCAGGCCTCTACTATATGTTGCATGCCATGGGCCCAGAGTTTCACAGTATTCGAACTGGGATCACATATGTATTTGAGTGTGATAGATTCAGTTTGGCCTCCAACATGGACTTTATGATTGCAAAGAAGGCTTGCTCCGAAGTGTACAGTGTGTACCCTTTTACTGCTGACAAAATGAACTTCTTCCATACTGGCCTCTTCTCCAACATGCTGATCTCCTCATGTCGCTCTGTGTTGCCCAAGTCAATGGCTTCCAAATTCCATGTTGGTTGCATTTTTCCTGCTGGGCGCTTGGACTGCTTTTACAATATGCCTGATCCACAAACTGCAATGGAACGAACAATTCTACAAATGCAAGAGAGTGTTCGACGGCGCTATGCAATGCATGATTCGTTTAAATTGGATTCCAACAACCATGTCTAAGAAACGAATTGTGTTTTGTGGCGACAATGTACATAGTATAGCGGTAGGTATATCGGAAGGTTACTTTGTGGATAGGTAGGGTAGCTAGCGAGATAAGAAGAGAGCATCAATTTTAAAAAATTAAGATACGACAAACACCATTGATGGAAGCTCGTTGTGGCTGTGGGAATGGCAGCTCGTTGATGGAAGCTTGCCGCGAGTCCCGCCCACCGTACCGTAGTGTTGTTTTAGCAGACCACCCAATCCAGAGGATCCACTGGCTTTGCGTTTCCGGCCTGAGACAGCGAGTTTACAGGCGCTGCAAATCTCGTTGTATTCCTCGAACCTTCGCAACCTGAGAACACAGCGCACGTTGTTCCCCGGAGTGTTGTTGCCTTTATGCTTCATTAATTGTCGGTAGTCCTGTCCAAAGAAGGGAGCAGAATTCAAAGGAACGAGAAGCTAAAAGGCGCATTGCTGGCTACTGTCGTAGATTGTTCCACGTTGGTGGATGTTTTTGCCTTTGCCATGACACTTGTCGTCGTCTTGACACCAGAAGCACCAGTGTCTTCCAATGGTCGCTTCCTCGATTGTTTGTTGTTGTTATTGTTGTCGTCATCATCTTTCCACGCCTTGCACGTCCAATGCGATTCTGCCTGCTGTTGTGCCGCCACCAACCAGGGCGCATCCGTTCCAAATTGTTGTTGCAACGCCGTGAGAAAGACATTGTGAAGTTGTTCCGGTTTGATACTCTCTGCTCGATCTCGACACCCACTAATTTGTTCTTCCTTTTGACGTAGAAATCGCAATAGATTTCCCAGGTTGCTGCGACTGACATAGTTGTGTGTAATAGCTGTGTAAATAAAACAACGACAACGAAAAATTCAAGTAAGGAAATGAAATCGAAAATGGGCCGAAGAGAGACGGAAACCCAACCCAGCAACCCAACCAAGAAAAGTTTGCACGAACGAACGTACCAATATTGACTTGATCGAGATTGATGACCATGTGCCACCATCCGTGCGGGACAAAAACGACATCGCCCGGATGGGCCGTGCATTCCAGTGGTCGTTCGTGTGGCGGTGCATTCTTTTTACGCTCCTGATGATCCCTCCAAAACGTCAAGATCCATTCCCCAATGGACAGCGGCAATGCCACTTCGTCGCCATCAGCCGACGGATGTATTCCCGGTGGTGTAATCGAGGGTGGATAAAAGATCCATCGTTTGCGTCCACAAATGGCGGCATTCCATGCATGCGTGGCATTGGGATCAATGTGAAAGACACTCCCACTGTGACTGCCCCCTAAAATGGCCCAGGTATGATCGGGTCGTTTGCCTTCTCCCAGTACTTGGAACAAATCGTGGCCTACTTTGTCGTCAGTGTCCAAAAGAGTTGGAGCGGGATCCAAGTAGGGACACGTGCGTTGCAAATCGGGATAAAAGTCGTCATGGAGTGGCGAGTGGGGTTGAAGTGCTTCCCGATCAAAGAGATAGAGGGGTGCCTCTTCGAGGATGGGTTGCGAGCAGTACTGTTGAAAGGCATCCAGTGTAAAATTGGCGGGGAGTGGCGCGGCGCCACTGGTGGCCCGAAAGGTTCTCCCCTGGGTTTGTTGTCGCATATATTGAGGGTCCTTCCAATCCTTACAGGCTTTCCAGGATGTGGCAGCGCCTTTAATGACGACCGGTTGATTGGGTTGTTCAAATTCTGTAATAAATTTCTCCGATGTCATCGTAGCGGCTGCAATACACGGCACCAGTCCTTTCGATGTCCAGTGCTGTGGATTGTCAAGTGGTGCATGTTCTTCCAGCCACGCGGGGGGAATACAAAAGGCGCGACAACTGTGCAACCGATAGAGGTCATCGGAATAAAAACCAGATATTTTCAGCGGTTTGTGGGGAATTGAATGTCTTTGTTTGCCTTGGTGCTGCAACCTGATAAAACAATCCTTCCACGAGTCTCCCATGACGTCCCGCGACAAATGGGATTGCGACGCGTGCAATTGATAGAGTACCAAATCACGCCACAATTCCGGTTGATGGCCCGCCACGTAGAAGTACCGACACGATTGTACCAGACGACTCAGACTGTAGCCGTTGCAAAAGCCCAAAATGGACAACCATGTCTCGTCGCGCAATTGTCGCACAAAGGCTTGCTTGGGATTATTTCTACTTGTGGTCGTTGTAGAATTATTCACGAGGGCATTTCCAGACGGCAGCACTCCATAAGGGTGAGGAGACTCCAACGACAAGAACTCGTGCCATTGGACATTGTCCTTGGCCAGTTTGGTGGGTTCAGAGAAGCGGACTTGTACCATGGTGGTCAGGATGAAGTAAGTGATGATCTCATGCATCGGCAGTCAAGCGAGAAGTTAAATGACCATGGTCGTTCGTTTGCCAAGGATCAAGGCGTTGAGAAGCGTCGTCTCGATGAGAAGCGCAAATTGGTGGTGGGAGAGGAGTCCAATGAATCGAATCGAATGAGAAAGCTTCAAGTCCAGTCACATTATTTGAGACTGACGAAAGAAAGCAATCTGCAAAGCTAAAAAACTCATGTGAGCTCCTACGGTACGCTACCGGTAGTACCGGTAGGTACCGGTACAAGTTACTTGGTAACGTACTAGTAGCCGCTATCTTAGCATGGGCTTTGAGAGGACAGCACCTTCGAGGCCGGTGCAGAGCTGTTGTACCGTACTGTAGAAAGATGTTACTCTTGAAGGCACCTGCACTACTAGCTAGTCTACTAGTGTCACGGTAGAAGGCATCCATGCGCACGTGATAAAGGGAGGAGGATGCATTCGTCTCTCATTCAACATCTGCCTCGGCCTAGCTAGCCAGGCAGCTTGCTAGGTAACTAGATCACTGGCCCATGGCTGCGTGGCGTCAGCTAGTTTAAGACTACTAGTACGAGTTGCTTGTGCCTTGTGGTTGCTGGTGGACTGGTGGATTCGATTCGGAGCAATCCCCATTCAGCACAATGAAATTCGTACATAGCAAAGAGCTGGAACAAGCAAGACGTACACGAGAGGCTGATCTGCTGCCTACAGAGGCGGCTTCCGGCATAAGGCAGACGACTCGACTCTCGCTCCATCAGCCAGCCATGGGGGCTGGAGTAGACTACTACCTACCAGGCCAACGAGCGACAGCCACAAGGTGTTTGTGACAGACAGCTCCTCCTGACCCAGCCAAGCGCTGTCATCTGTCATCCTTGCAGGAGGCAGCATTATTTGCTCCTCTTGTTTGGTCCTGCCAGCCAATCGTTTACATTCCTCCTCCAAAACTTCTATTAATAGAAGAACAGCAGGTTCAAGCCAAGGACAACATTGTTGAACAACAAGAGTGAGGTGGGCAATAATAACTAGCTAGGGAGTGTTGTCTTGTACCAGGGTTGGGTGGTCTTGTGAGGGGCGTGTGCTACTCCGGCTGGTGTCTGACTTTCCCTTTCCCTTGCATCTACCGGTATCTGTGATGTGATCGAGTGAGTGACGAGTCTTTGACTTCGACATCTTTTGGGCTCTTGGCTCTTGGCAGCTGGCTATTTAATAGTGACATTCAGTCATGCATAAAGTATCCACGACAATCTGCTTTGATGACGCGAATAAAAATCTCGAGGGACGTCTCGAGAATGACGTAACACCATCCCACACTACACGTCACACGTTTTACCCACAACGAAGGCCGTTCTTCTGCGCTGGTATGGTTCCAAGCTGGTTTCACTTGGGCGGGATGGTCGATGATGCACCGCTTTGGAGCCATGGTAATTATAAGAAGAGAGGTTTGGGTGTTGGGTAGTTGTAGATCTGGTTCGTCAACTGCGGGCCACGACGCCAATTGCGGTGTGTCCCTCTACTGCTGCTTTTCTTCGCAGGTTGCTGTTGGGAGGTAAACATCGCACGTGTTCCGGCCAATGATACTACGTCTTGCCATGGCATTGTCCTGATGAGGGACAATGTTTCACAAGAGCAGCAGGCCGCCACTGGAACCAAAATTTGCTGCGTTAGTTTCCTTGTGTTCTCTTCCGCTCATTATCACTTCGGTAGCATTCATCGAGCACCTTTTTAACCACAGCATTGGTCAGTCATTCTAGCCTAGCCTTGCCCAGCGGTAGAAGACTATAAAAGACCCTTCTCGAGAGCGCTATCATCTCAGGCATCATACCACAGTCAGCAGAGGTATATTACATAATCCTGCAGCCATGATACAAGATAACTCGCAAGGGTCGACAACTACTAATACCATGAATTCTGCCTCCATGAGGGGGAGAAGTGAGAATCCAACGGTCAATCTCCGCCGGAAGCGTTCTGTGGAACCAGAAGAGGTACCATCCAAACGATGCACTACTACTAAGGATCTCTCTACCTTTATTACACGGTCCTTGTCCTGCATGTTTTCGGATGTTGCTACATTGGACCGAGAAGATCGCAGCTCGGATGGCAAGGACAGCTTGCCATCAGGAACTCTTCCCACCGACAGCAGCAGTTGGGAGGCTACCCACGATTCTTCCAGCTTGTTTTCCTCTCAAACGAAAAAGAGAAGATTATTCTCACTTTCTACCTTGCAGAACCACGCTACTGCCGCCTCACCGGCAGCCCCCTGCTCTGAATCTTCCACTGCCAGTTCTAGTAGTAGCATCCAAATTTCTCCAAGTTCTTCTCCTCTCCCGACTACCATTTCCACCACAACCACATCTTCTTCGGTGGTTTGTTCCTCCATTTCCGTTTCGTCCGATTCCAGTCATTGCTCTCTGCAAAGACGGCGAAAGAGTCGATCTATTGGCAAACTATCACAGTCAGATACCCTCTTCTCTTTGGTCCATGACATTCCTGCATCATCCTCCGTCAGTTGCTTTGATAGCAGCAACAGCAGTCGATGCAGCAGTATTCTGGACTTGGATGATACCTTTTTGAGCTTGCGAGAACGAACCGAAGAAGATGATGACTCCTTGTCGTACTCGGATGATTCCAGCACATCGTCCGATGAAGATGATGATGACTTGAGTGTCAATGCCCCTCGTCGTGAGGAGAGTGGTTTATGGTATCCCAACAGTGGGATGGTGGTGTACCCGCTTTGCGATGATGATGATGATGAAGACGAGGGAGGTCTCTTCTTTTAAGTACACACCGTATTTTTCTTTCTCTGTTCATGGTGCTGTAACAAAAACATAAGCAACGACATTGGTTACTAAATGAGACTACATGCATAGAGTTTGGGCTTGTCAGATGAATTCAGTTCAATGAATACTTTCTTGTAGTTTCAGCTCTCCAAGCCAGAATTGCATTTCCTACGAAGTGGTTTTAGAGCCAGAGGGTCATCACCTCCCCCCCCCGTGCTGGGACCTGTTGGGGATGGCATAGACTGTACCGGTAGCGCTACGGTAGGTCCTGGTGCTGAGCCATGGTGTGTGAGGAAATCCGGGAGTTGTCCTAGAGAGGTGTTGGACGTCCAGATGTGGGACTACCAGGTCCAAGAGTGGCTGGGTAGTCCTGACCTTGTGCGCGGTGATTTTCCTTCCGGGGCTTATCCGAACGTGGTGCCGTACTACAGCTATAGATGTGTGTGTCACCAATTTGGACTGCGCTTCCTACCCCGCCAAAGATTTGCCCCAAGCTTTGCGTGCTCGGTCAACAATGTTGACATTTCTAAATTAAAATGGATACTACTCTCCTCTTATAAAGCTGGGTAGCTACTGTAGCTACCTATCCACAAAGTAACATTTAGATATAGTACATCAGAGCAACAAAGCAATTATTTACATATGATTAGTGCAATCCACTTGAAACGCAGCTTGCATTGCGTATCGTCTCCGAACACTCTTTTGCATGTTCCTGATTGTTCGTTCCATTGCAGTTTGTGGATCAGGTGTATTGTAAAATTGGCTCAAGCGACCATCAGGGAACACACAACCAACATGGAATTTGGAAGCAATTGACTTGGGCAACACCGTGCGACATGAGGAGATCAGCATGTTGGCAAAGAGGCCAGTATGAAAGAAGTTCAGCTTGTGAGTGGTAAAAGGGTACACACAGAACACATCTGTGCAGACATTCTTTGTAATCTTGAAGTCCAAGTTGGAGGCCAAACTGAATCTATCACACTCAAACACATATGTGATCCCAGTTCGAATACTGTGGAAGTCTGGGCCCATGGCATGCAACATATAGTAGAGGCCTGCAGCATGCATTTTCCAACCTTTCTCTGTTCCCAGTATCTGCAGATCACAGCGTCTCATATCTTCAATAAGGGTGTATCCACCAGAGGAGTGGTTGTAGGGAAAATCGAGAATGAATTGGGGCATCAATAATACATGGTTCCGCAAAGCCACTAGTGCATCTTCCAGAGTATTTGGAATATCATATTCCTGCCGAAATCCCTGTAAGGATACGGCTCTGTCAACAGCAGCTCCCACATTACCCTGATCAATAATTGCCAACTGGCAGTACTCAAAATCAGAGAGTTTGTCCAGATCAGGGCAGCTCTCAATGGCTGCTTTGATGGTCCGAGCCCATTGGCGTTCTTGATTTGTAAGGTCCATGGACCGATCCACTGGAGGGGGCACTGGACGTTGCTGCTGATTTTCTTCGTTCGCATCATCATCTTCTGCCGCAGGAGCAGCATCCTCGTTTTGGGGCTGATGGTTTTCTTCGTTCCCATCATCTTCTTCCGGAGCAGCATTCTCGTTTTCAGGTCGTTGGTTTTCTTCGCTTCCATCTTCTTCTTCTGGAGCAGGAGCAGGGGCATCCTCGTTTCGGGGCCTCACCTCTTCATTTGGGGGATTCTCCCCTTCGACGTCTTCATTTGCTCTTACAGCCACTTGGTCTATTGGTGCTTCGGCTCCTATGTTCATCCTTGCTTTCAATCTTCAAATCGAACGAAATTGAAGGAACGGTAGAGGAGATCTACTACTATTAGCTAGCTAGCAGCCCTCAAGGGAAACTCCTTCATACAAATGTGGCAGGTGTATGAGGCGACTCTAGCTAGGATGAGGCAACTCTAGCTAGCTAGGATCACCATCCACAACACAACAAGCCAGGAAGCTTGGTCCTCGCAAGCTTTTTAGAAACCCTGGCTGCTCCAAAACATCCGTTCAGCCTGTCGACTGTCGACCTTTCTCAACTCCTTCAGCTAATAAACGCCCCTTTCCCTCATAAATAATGACTTTCAGAACACATGACAACCTGAACTCTAATAGCTACTCTAATTAAAAATCCCAGAGATATCTAGTACCAGACTATTAATTAATTCGGCTTTTTTTCAGCGTTGGTCTCCTGTTTCCTCAGTTTGCTCGCTACTTGATCCAGCCATTGTATAGCCAGCTACGGTACCTACCGTTGGCAGAGAGTTACATCGATCCGTGACAGTGTCAACAGTACCGAACACACTCAGGTTCCACTTTACTGGCTACACTCCGTTACCAGGACCTTGCATTGGATCCTTATGACGAATACATGCACAACCGAACATTGTCAATCCAGCCATCGTAGCCAGTTACAGTAGAGTTCATCGATCAGTGACAGTGGCAACTGTACCGAACACACTCAGGTTCCGCTTTGCTCGCTGCACTCGGTTACCTCGCATTGGATCCTTATGACGAATACATGCACAAAACCGACTATTGTTAATCCAGCCATTGTAGTCCACTACCGTACAGTTACATTGGCGAGAGTGTCAACAGTACCGAACACACTCAGGTTCCGCTTTGCAGGCTACACTCCGTTGCCGGTATCTTGCATTGGATCCTTCTGACGAATAGACTACATGCACAACCGAACATTATGAATCCACCCATTGTAGCCGGCTGCGGTATAGCTACATCGACGACAGTGGCAACAGTACCGAAAGTTTGGCTTTGCTCGCTACGGTTACCAGTACCTCGCATTGGGTCCTTATGACGAATACATGCACAACCGAAGATTGTCAATCCAGCCATTGTAGCCAGTTACCGTAGAGTTACATCGATCGGTGACAGTGGCAACAGTACCGAACACACTCAGGTTCGACTTTGCTCGCTGCACTCGGTTACCTCGCATTGGATCTTTATGACGAATACATGCACAACCGAATATTGTCAATCCAGCCATTCTAGCCAGCTGCCGCATAGCCGTATAGCTAGTGGCAACAGTACTTGACTTGCGCATACAGGAAAATGGGTACCGACACAGGAATCACCACCAAAACAGTAGGAAATCACAAGAAGGGATGAATCCGGTAGGAGGATCCACTCTCTTGTGTGTTGTTGCCTCTTCCGGTGGCTGTTGCCTTTCAACGACTCGACGACGATAGGCTTCAGGCTGTTGGTAGGGCTGGAGTTAACAGAGCCTCCTCCTCCGTAGCCGTAGCCTCTCATCTTCTTGTTATCCGGAGCAATCAATCATTCGAAAAGGACTCGACGCAATGGTATTTCATGGGCCGTCAGCAGTGCAGCAGAGAAAACAACGAATAGATATGAGTTTTGTTTTCTGTGCTAAACTGAAGAAAACCAGCCACTTACCCTTGCTTTTCAAATGGCACCAACTTGGCCGTCATGGGCCGAGAACTGACTGCCTTCCCCCGGTCCATAGGATTCAATGAGGGATGGCTTTCGCTTCTGTACCAGAGTCAACCGGCTTGAGTGAGGCTTGGATAACAGAGATAATAGAGGTGCGATCGATCGACTCGAATAAATAAAACAACTCACCTGTTGACGGCCGAGATCTGACTGCCTTCCTGTGGTCCATAGAAATTCAATGGTGGATGGCTTTCGAATCTGCCCCTTCAATAACACTCTTGATTATAGGTATGCTTACCTCCGTACCACCGTAGCAGTCGTTGGATCGATCGATCGATCGATTCGATTCTTGTCGGCCAAGCTCGGATTTCTCTCCTGTTTGCCATAGCAATTCAATGAGGGAGAGAAGTCAGCGCTGTGCCTTCAAAAAAGACTTGATGGACGATTGGATGGAATCGAATCGAAGGGCACACACACGTGTACAGACGTTAAAACACGTTAAGTACAGGTTTGGTACTTAGGGATAAACATGACCGTTGATTCTGCAACTGAAGTGCCGGTACTCTAATTTACACAGTAAACGCCCGCAAATCGATTTTGGAGTGCAACTGAGGGGGAAACCAAAAGGAGCGTGGTCTGGGAGACCAAATTATCTGTTAATAATTGACTCCTATATACCTGGGATTGCTTTAGGAGCGTAGTCGGTTGTAGATGGAGTACTGCTGAGCCAAAATTGAAATTAGGACAGCCCAACCTTTTAGGAAGGGATTATTGAGCACTCCTACGGGAGTTTCCAGTACTGATTCTACTCGGTCATTTGGGCCACCGCCCAGCGAAAGGCTTCTCTGAAAGGGATGTTCCAGTGAGCGGGGAGGTCAGGCTGTCCGACTTTCAAATTTGCACCAGCCACACAGCATGGGCATGCGAAAGGTGACCTGGTGACGTACTCGGAGTTTCGCACCTCGGTGGTCAAACAGAGACATTCAGTCATGCGTCAGAAAGCAATCAGATGGCCTAGAGGTACGCTTAAGTAAGAAGAACGAGCCAGTATGTCTCGCATACAGGGAGGGCCTACTGACTACACACATGGTGTCGGTACTATTGCTTCTACACTAAACAACAGGCGTATCCTCATGGAGAGAGCAATCGGAAGCACCTCACAAATTGCTTCGAAACAGCACCTACTATGGTTAAGACCGATTACACTGAGGGTACAACTGTTTGGATCAAATCGCTACCAAGTCGCGACCTTTAAGGAACCCACCGACACCCTCAACTGTAAGGTCGTGCTCTTGGATAACAGCGAAAGATTGCTCCCCTTTGATTTTATCGAGGAAATGGAGGAAGGTCCAACCAATTTGCCTTTGGTTCCCCACAATCGCTTACGTTCCATGGGTGTCAGAATGATTGACCAAGAGGTTTCGCCTGCAGATATTGCGCGTGCAGGTGCCTGGAGTTTTAACAACCCCTCTATTTCTCGCTATTCTCTATCTCCTACAGACACCAGACGCACTGTTCGCTTGCTCTTACAAAGGTTGGCATCGCAAGAGGACCAGCTCGCCGCGAGCCACCAGGAGCGCCGATCCCTTGTTGACCGACTCGATGCATTGGAGAACCGCCTTCAGGAGCTGGAGAATTTCCTCCACGACCAAGACATTATTCCAACAGGGCTTTAGTTAGTTTTAAATCTAGTAGCTACTACTGCTACCTCTACGTCTACGTTGCCTGTTCGGCTTGTTGTTGTTGTTGCTTTTCGAGTTGCTTTTTTAGCGAATTTCCTCGTACCTTGCCAACTTTGATGAGTTTCTTTCCCTGTAGGACCTTAACCAATAAGCCCATAGAGCCCTTCACTTCTGTAAAAAAGTCTTCCCATTCGGCAATAACAGCCTTGGCATCCTGTTTCGTTTCTGCCGCATATGCCTCCGCTCCTTTCACAACTCGCTTGTGAGCAGAGAAGAGGTTGCTGTCTAAGTATTTCCTCCAACGGTTTTTGTGGACTTTGTTGCGCCCTTCAATGCCACCATAAGCGTCCGCGAACTCATCCAGGCCAAACCATTCATTCCAAACATTGCACAGACAGGAATGCTTCTTCACCAGTTGAAACCGGTAATGGTCCTCAACTTTGGAATTAGGCAGTGTTGTAGTTGTTGTTGTTGTTCTTCCTGTGGCTCTGGCGGGTGTCGCGGCAACTATACTAACTGCACTACGCTAAAAGCTAGTGTAAAGATCTTTCGAGTGTTTTGAGTTTGAGAGAATGAAAGTTATGAGAGGATTAGAAAGCTATGAAAACTAATCAATGAGAGAGATCCACAATCAAAGGATCGTAGATCTGAACTCCCGCAGGAGACTGTAAAGTGTGATAGAGTAGGTTGCGGTAGCAATCCTACTCACTCCAAGATCCAAAAACGGAACGCATGGAAGATTCGTCTAGCATTTATCTAGTAGCGTGGAATCTCTCCACGCCAGCTAAATATCTAGCCCGATGTTTCACCATCGACCTAGTATGACTAGCGGTCATGAGAACCCTGTCTCAATGACTATTCACGAAAGACTCAGTCATGAGTCGAACTCAAACCCTATCTACGATCGAGTCGCGAATAAGGCTAAGAGCCGTGTATTGCATTCGCCCTCTGACAAGGGTCACAGAAGGCACGACATCAGTCGGACAAGGAGAACATATGAATTAAAGTGCGGGGCACTCTCCGGAGATTGGATGTAGACATGTGCGTCGCACGATGGCAATCCTACAAGGGGATCAGGCCTTGTATGGGTGTAAATACCTTATGTTCCAAGTCTGGTAGACTGTGCCGCCATTGGCGGTAGCATGTCGGAGCCATACAGTGCTATTGTTATTGACTCGGTCTATGTGGTAAGGACCTTTGTACTTTGGCTGACCGTACTTGCGGTGCTGATACTGATGAATCATCACAGTATCGTCGACATTGTGTTGATGAGGGACACGTGTCGTGTTCTCCCTATCGTTGTTTTTCTGGATAAGTCGTTGGCGACGTTCCTTGATGTATTTCCAGTTTGCTTCGAAACGGATGTTGTGAATCTTGTCACGATTGACGCGCGTGAACTTGCGACGAAGTCCATGTTCATCCCGGAGAGTCTTCTCGACCTCTGCGCGGAACTCACGTCCTCTGTTCATGATAACCTCAGCCGGTCATGGATACTGGGTAACCCACATCTGTTTTTAGAACGATGGTTACTTCGTCTGCTGTCTTGGAGCAGACCTTGGTAATCCCGAACCATTCGGTTACGGGATCAATCATTGTCCAGCAATGAAGTGTACATGTGATCGTCTGATTCATGTATCTGGCTGGTAGTTCATTGGTCCAATGAATCTACGAAGTTCCTTCCTATTCGTAGGAGGAGCGATATCTGGATCACATCTATTGTCCTTTAGTTAAGGGTTGGATTCCTTCTCGAGTAATCCAATGGTCTAGATACTCAAGTTCTTCTGAAAGGAAGAACTTGGTAGTGTTGATTTTAAATCCGACTTCTTGAAGTCTTTGAAAAAATTCATCTAACTATTCAACGTGATCTACTAGATCGTCGTCAGTTAGGATGAGTTGATCATCAATGTATGCACGGACATTTTCTAAGTCATGCATGCGTGTT